CTGTGGTTCTTAGGTGTCATATCATGTGTATGTAGTGAATGCAGGCGGGGCTCACAGTCCCCTTGTTTTTGTTTTTTCCCTCTTTGTGTTGGTTATCGTTGGGGCCCTGATTCACACCCTTTGCTCACAGGGGGCTGAGTCATCCTTGCAATAACAACGTTGTAGGAGGAGGACATCTGGACACGAAGGCCTCCACCTCTGTTTAATGGTGGATGGTTTTTCTTCACAAAAATGGCTTCCTTTACTCCTCTCTCAAACCAACGCTCCTCTCTATCAATCAATGACACAGTGGTCACTCTTTCAGGTATGAGGATGTTCTCATCCTTGATAGAGAGGAACGTTGGTTTGAGAGAGGAGTAAAGGAAGCCATTTTTGTGAAGAAAAACCATCCACCATTAAACAGAGGTGGAGGCCTTCTTGTCCAGTTTTCCTCCTCCTACAATGCTGTTATTGCAAGTATGACTCAGCCCCCTGTGAGCAAAAGGTGTGAATCAGGGCCCCAACGATAACCAACACAAAGAGGGAAAAAACAAAAACAAGGCGACATCGAGCCCCGCCTGCATTCACTACATACACATAACAGGACACGGGTCAGATGATGGGGCACATGACCCTCTATGAACAATAGAGCTAATCAAGCCTATTGTTAGGTGATGGCCATCTTTTGCCTGTGACTAAACTGTGTGTCCACCATGTGGAGGCAGTGATTATAAGGCTGAGTTCACCTGAAACTCATCAGACTGAAGAAGTCTCTTGGAGGAGAGACGAAATGTCTCACTGAAGAAAAACCCATCCAGAGGACCTACTTATTTTTTCTTTTTGATTTTTCTACCTGGATTACTGAGATGCATCAGGACGATAACATTATGATTTTGAAATCATGCAGTTTATGTTTTGTTTTTACTTTTAACRGCACCAAAAAACTTAATTTCCAAACAGATGATAACGAGTTTTAAAATAAAATCCATCTTTTACCTGGGAAGCGTTTACAGGCCAGGTGCCTTAAAGATCTAAAGACATCACACATGAGGGGGGGACAGTTGGAGCTGGACTGGGTGATGGAGGAGAAGACCTTCTGGACATAAACCTGAAGGTTTTCCTGCAACAATTAAAAACCAACAAACAAAAAACCATTACATTTTATAGTCATAAAGTTCTGTTTTTGTGCTGTTGCACAAACTGTACGAGGAGAGAAGGTTAGCGCAAAAAATAATAAAAGAAGATTGACTACCTTGTTGACTTCCACATTGTCGCCTTCTTTTAGTTTAACGCGGTCTATTTCACATGTTTTGTTGGATTCACAAATCTGTGAGAGAGTAAAAAAGAATAAAACAAGATAACATTAAAAACACTTAAGTAAGTCAGGCCAGACAAGTAATATTATGACACCACATTTTTTAATTTAAATTTAAATTTTGAGAATGAGAATCAAAATATTGTTAGAATTAAAATGAGTTTCAACCAGTGTATGTAGTGCACATTCATTTTTTTAAAAACAGAAATGCAGAACTTCCAGTAGATTTTTCCTCTACTGGCTTTAAATGTGTTTGTTTCTTACTCATACCTCATCAATTACAGGCTTCAGGGTAACAGCCAAGTAACTCTTTCCAACAATCTTCATCATGTCATCAATGCAGCGAGTTGCCAGAGAGTTGCCACGGAATATAGTGTTAGCCTCCCTGGACAAACAAATAAGAATGCCACAAATTAAAAAAAAGCAAGTTTACTGAAGTAAAAATAAATGTCAAGTGTAAGAGACCCCTCAGTTTATTGCAGTACCGCATCTCGTTTCATACATAGTGAGAGTACTCACTGTACTGAGTACTCACTGAGTGTTCTCCAGCTCCAGGGCTGCCACGGCGGAGACAAAAGGCACAAATCGATTGTGATAGAGCAGCAGTCGAACCGTGGGCAGAACGGCCTCGTGTCGCTCTCTGCAGATGTCCCCCAAGATGTGAGCTGCTGATGCTGAAATGGGCTGGAGGACAGGAGAAACTAGATCAGCAGTTATAGAGRGATTATCAGTCTACGTCACTTCTGGGTCTACTGCGCACGTCGAGAGCAGAAAGAAGTCACAAGCATGTCTTGTGCTGCAGGTCGCACAAACCGTTATGATAAAAACAACTAAACACGCAAGTTTTATGAAATTACCTTAAATTACCCCTTTCAAGGCAAACAGGAGACATCAGAGGACGTGAATGAACGAGCAGATTATTTATGCAACTATCTGGAGCATCAATTTATATCAGGTAAGCTTTAGCTAACAAGAATCGATGGTTTTAGTAATGCTATTATAGATCCCTTCTTAAATAAAAGGTGAACAACTGAAAGCCTGTTTTTTGTGACACAAATAATCCTGTATAGACCAACTGGTGACAATGGGGTTAATAAAGGAAAGGAATTTAAACAGAGTGCAAACTACCAGTGTCAATTATACTTAAATACTGTCCATTTGAGAAAGGAACAAAGAGTTGAGGGAGATTGAAAAGTAATAAAAGTAAAAAGTAATAAATGATGTAATTTAATCTGTGTGCAATCTCCTCAGTTTTGGATATCACATAACGTGAGCTGCTGAGTTACCTTCACATCGGGGGATTTGAGCAGCAGGTTGCAGATTGGTGTGTAGCAGGCCGATGGCAGCACCGTGTCTTCAATGTAGGTCAGCTTCAAACGCAGGGATCCCAAGTCTTCAGACTTGGACTTGCTTCCGTTCCCTTTGGGCTGGAGGAGATACCTGTTAGAGCACAGAGAGACAGATACCATGTTAGCTGTGGAAAACTATTTTTATGTCATTAATTAAACAATTTACTGACATGCTTTGATTCTGTGCTCTCCTCATTGATAATAAACTGGTAATTTATAACACAAGCTACTTGAAACTAGACGTGAGAAATTTATTACAACTTCAAGAATATAAAGGATATACAAATAAATAAAATCAGACCGACAAGATGAATAATCTGACCTGAAACTAGTTACTCAACTAAATGACAAAGTTTTGATTTCTAGAAATTGACATGACCCAAGAAAGCACCTTCATAGACTTACAGTACATATAGCTTAATTTCATGTCATATCAAAGAAAAAAACAAAACAAAAAACAACTCAACCCAATAGCTGAATAAAAAAAAGAAAGAAAAAACAAAAAACAGTTTCCTAATATAGTACAGAGAAGGAACACACTGCACTGTTTACAATTGGAAAAACTAATTCTTCCAGGCAGTCAGGTGAGGAAGGAACATTTCTATTATAAAACGTCACGTTTCCAAACTCAAATCATCAAATTTCTCTATCAACTCAAGGGTCAATTTTTGGTGTATAACAACAATTACAGTATAGTAAATGTTTGTGTGGTGGTTGGGCATTATATTTTGTATACTTCAAGATAATTTCCAAGCTGTATATAATCATGGCACAGGGTTTGTAAAGTTGTGTGAGCATGGATGTGGCTTCCAGGTAAATACAATAAAAAGACAAGCTACTAACAGCTAAAGCTCAATAATTGAAATCATGGCAATGAATTCAGCTTGTTTGAGAAATTCTAATTTAGACAAGAAAATACTAGAGGTATATCTCATACTTTTACCTAGTTTTAGTGCCTGGAAAGCCTGAGGAAAACCAAACCAAAGTCCAGATTTGTAAACTTAATAAGTGATACTTGAGGAATCCATGTTATTGACAGTTGCAACACCACTATTTATTCAACATTATACGACATAAGAAATGTCCTGTAGCTCTGCRTTTTCTGACAGAACCAGTTTGATAGGGAAACAAATCCTGCCAGCAATGTTTGCTTTAAAGTTTTAAATACAACCACTTTATCATATTGTTAATACCTTTACAAACAGAATGTGAAAATGTGTCATGTTGTAAAATAAGTGATAAAAATGGGGAAAAGGGGGGAAAGCATGAAGAACTGATAAAAAGCAGTTTTTACAAATACACATAACATGTTCTATTGAGCATGACAGATTGTAGAAAATAAATATGAAATCAACATTGCTTGAATGGGTTCCTCACCTGTTGCCATGCATGCCAATGTGAAAAAAAGGGAGGGGGGCATTTTGTAGCCTTTGGGAATGACTCCAAGTTTTAGTTTAATTGTTGTGCTTGTTTAGTTCAACTAGCTGTAGCAGCCATCTTCAATCACGGTGACTAAAGTTTTATCAGTTGTAGATGAAAAGGACTAGAAAGCTTTTAGTGCAGTAATTAAAACAAGCAAAAATAATAATAAAAACTTTAAAAGATCTATTCAATAAGCTGATTTCAGCTAGTCTGTTACACCTCCAACATTATGACATTTCTTTTTGCTGGTTAGTTTTGGACTGATTGACTTCCATCTATATTTTAACAGTTATTTCGTACAAATGTCAAAGTTTCTTTACTTTAACTTTCCATCTTTGGCAGAAAATAGAAATAGTATGAGATTATTTCAGGAAACACTGCTTATGCTTCTTTAAAGAAAGTGTTTTGGGTCTTAATGATTTAGAAGACAGCTGCCCATAATTTAGCAAAATGCAGATCACCTTGAAAGTCGACTGGTGGTGCAAAAACAACTCTTTGTATATGTCCAGCTAAATTGTAGCCCTTCAGAAGCTCTTTTTCTATCTTTGTGTATAACGGATCTGTGATCACAGTGTATGGACACAGGGACAGGTCATTAAACCCAATGAGCAGGTTTTACAAAGCCAAGCGGCCATTTTTATTTAATGCAACATAGATTGTGAGGTAACACAGGACATGAGGTAATTCCACCATGCAAAGAGCCACCCACGCACTTTCACAACCTTCGTGTACCAACAGATTGCTGTCTGGCACAATCCCATATCACCTTCTCTGACACAAAGCTGGGACACATAAACACAGAGGGAAAAAATGCTGAATGCAGAAATCTGGAGAGGCTCTTCAAGTCACCTTGTTGTGGCTGTGAAAACTTGGCAGAACATGCCGTTCTAAATGATGCGCAAGTTTAAAGGAACTGGTCTACTGCAGCTACAAGGAAGAATATGGGGCCATGAATGATTGTATTTATTAAAAATAGGCCTGTCACGATAACAAATTTTGCTAGGCGATTAATTGTCTCAGAAATTATTGCGATAAACAATAATATTGTCTGGTGACCATTTTAAAACTAATATAATGATAAAAGCGTAATAATGTAAGTACATCCTCTCAAAGATCAATGAACTTTAATTTTTAAAGAATATTTAACAAAATGGACTCTGTCTAACAAAAAATGCACTTGAATAAAAAAAAAATCAAAGAACAACAAAATGGAAATTAAACACCACACACAACTGAGACAGTAAATAAACAATATTAAAGAGCAGCATCTCTTTAGAGATGAAGCAAATTACACAGCCTGGTGAGGAACCACTGTTTCTTATGGGGACATAAACCCAGTTCACATCC